TTATTAGAACAACATTAAACGAATTATAACGAATGAATAAATGAATATTAAAATAGTTAAAACTTTAATTATTACTTATAATTAATTACAATTAAACTTTCTTTCAGATTATAACAAAGAGTTTGATTTGTAATAATCTTCGCGACGCGAATTGCACCGATGCTAGATAACAATTAAAAATTACATTGTGCATTCGCGGTGTTTTATATCTTTTCTTCTCGTTGATAGCGATTTCCAGGAATTCCTCCGGGATCCTGTATCTCTAACCGTGTAACTATATATATATATTATTTTTTTTATATCTATCTCAATCTCTGCCAGCCCCCAATCCTAAATATCATCTAAATCATTAATCTAAAAATCTAAATCATTTTTAACATACATACCCACACCACCACCCATTCTGTCATGGCTACCCCTAAAAATGCTTTTGTATCCTTCAACATGAAATAAGGTAGTATCACAATTAGGATAAATGCGAGCCTCCGAAATCGCAAGAATATCAAAACGCTCCTGAAAAAGCAAAAGCTTCACGTTAGAAAAGTGAGCGAATATTCAAATGAGCAATCAACATATAGCGGCAAAATCAAACTTTCTCAATTTACAGGAAAATATATAAAAGAAAAATTTAAATTTAAAGAGTAATGTAGAAGTAAAAGAAAAAAAACAAAAATAATAAAAGAATAGTTCCACCCAGGGAGACGACATAAGGGATACAGTTTGGATGGAGGGATTAAAATTCAAACTATTGCATCTAGGTCTAGATGACTATATTACCGCAATAAATATGTCATATCTTCAAGAACGAACTTTTTGTGCGAAAATAAATGGGACCTATTCAGATATAAGATGAATTAGAGTTCCTCGAGGAGGAATATTGCATCTAGATCAACGATTAAATTGGGGCATTGACTGGATTTGCACCATTTCTGTCTTGATTTTTACTCCACCAAATATTCTTTTTGGTTTTTTGTTTCCAAAGCTGTTCGATTGACATATCTTCATTTAAAATTGTGCTAAGTGGTCTACCAATAAGGAAGTGACCAGTTATGTGTGGGGATATATGTTGTGGATCAGTGCTTACTGGGGAAATGAGTCGGGAATTTAAAATTGCTATGTTTAAAGATAATGTAAAATTCTTCAAATACTAAGTTTGTACGATAGCGACTCTAGTTAAATGAAATTTCACAGAGTTCATTGATGATTCCCATAAGCCACCATAATGTGGAGATCTGGGTAGAATCAACATGAAATGAAATGATAAATTTCAATGTTGATTATTTTGTGTTACAATAAATTTACAATTAATAGTATAAATTCTTTGATTGTCGTAGCTGGACGTAAAAGTGTTTCACGTCCTGGATGTAAAAGATTTTTACGTCCAGCTTGTTATTTCATTTCATGAAATGATAAATGATTTGTGCATAATTGCAAATTTTCAAAAGAGCTGCAAGAACAGTATTTACTTAGAGTAGGTGGAAGATTAAAAAATGCAAAGTTGAATTTCTTACACCCAGGACGTAATAATATATTAAAAAAATAAAGTTTCGTAAGACACGCAAAATTCGTTTTTTAATGAATGAGTTCGCGTTTTTATCCTTTTTTTTTTAACAAAAATGAAATAAATTTTGACAATGTAGGGAAATAGATAGTTGGTAACACCGTAACACTTGAAAATAGAAATTTGAATTGACAATTAGAAATTGTCAAAACACAAAATGTATTCACCTGAAAAAAATGTTTCATGTCCACCTCTCGAAATAAGAGAAATTGCTCAGAGTTCTATTAAAACACTACTTCCAGAGAACTTCCACGAAAGAAATGACACCAGTTCGTTAAATTTAAGGCGTGGTGCGAAGAGAAGAAGATTAAAGAAATTTCAGAAAATGACCCAATGTCACCAACTTGGATTAGTTCCATAAAATGTTACTAAAATCTCATTACAGCATCGGATGCTGTAAGAAGTTTCATTACAGCGCCGGTTTGAGTACTGTAATAGGTTTCATTATCGTCGTGAATTACAAAATACTTATTTATATTACAAGTGGGCTAGAAACATAATTACTATACGAGTGTGGAGACATTTTATCTACGACTGCTAAAAATTACTTAAAAATCAATTCTGTAACCAATCAAATCTGTTCTGATTGGGCTAAAAATGCGTTACGTAATGAAACCAGTGCGGCAATCACCTCAAATGAGTGTGGTAATGATGACTTATTCAAGCAGTCGTAGATAAAAGACTTTTACGTCCTGACAAAAAAAATATCGTTTTCACGGTTGCTAACTACAATGCAAAAGTCCACTTTTAAAATATGTTTTTTAAAAAATTTATTATTAACTGTTTGTGATAAAAGGGCACCTATACAAGAATTAGAAGCGTCTCTAGTTAATGTTAATTACCTCGTGAAAACTATGTAAACATTCCTTCGACCAATTATCCATCATTTTTTGTATAAAATTTCGGAGATTATTTACAAAATGATATAACGGTGAAAGTAAAGAGGAAACATTTATTATACCTAAACTACGTTCGAAATGTTTTAAAGATTTCGATGTAGAAAAATCTAGGATCACCTTAATTTGATCTTGTGAAGGATGAATTCCATTCGAAGCGATGTTGTGAGTAAAAAGATTAAAGTAGTTTGAAGATTAAAGAAGCAAACTTCGAACTTGTTTCTGAAAAAGGTTGCAACATGGTATCCGAAACGAAAAACATTTTTTCCAAAGGCGCACTGCTTAACCGAAAAGTTTCTAATTCTAGGTCTAGTGTTAGTTTTAGTGATAGTACTAGTGTTAGTTCCAGTTTTAGTTTAAATAGACATCGAAAATCGTTTGTATGATTTCTATCGGTAAATTTGCCACTACAATATTATATTTATTATATGTCGTTACGTAATCGGATATACTATATTAAGTATCCAGAACCGAGTATCTAAGTATCCAGTTCCGACATTGTCGTCAACCGGTAAATTGTACTTACCGTTCGTTAATAAATAACATTTTTTGCACGATCGAAATGAATATAAATAATAATTAATTTACTAAAATATATTAATATTTCGTGGGGTTACTGCAAAAACCCGGTAAGTCCAGTTTTGGACGAAATCTGGCTATTTGTAGATATAAGTCCAGAATGAGCTACGTTTTTGTCTGAAAAAACCAGACAAGTCACTTTCTATACCAGAGTTGTGATATAAATTTTAGTGAAAACCGCATTTCGATATCGCCACCCGTTCTCGAATTATAGAAGAAAATGCTAAAAACTCGAGTGCCAGCAATCGGATCCAATTACCTCATCGAGAAAAACAAATCACATAACCATGGTAACTGTAAACATGTCATTTACTAACGCAGAAGCGTATGATGATTTATTTTCAATGTTTCGAATACGATGCAGCTGCATGGCAAAAATGTGCAATGCAATTACGACAAAGAAAGACATTTTTCTCTAGAAGTGTTTTTAAGATTGACTTAGCGATTACGGAAAACTGGCAACGTGTAGCCCATTCAGACATCTCTATGATTTCGTAAATCACATTGGTGCGCAATGTGATCCCACATAATCTGGGAACTCCGAAAACAATTGTCCACAAGATTTTTCAAGAGAATAATATCTCCACCACGTTGTTTTACATCAGGCCTCAACAGATACCGATTATGATAACAGACTGAACTATTACCATTGACTTTTAAATATGATTTGGGCAAATCCAAACCTTTTATAACAAATGCTATGGATGCATAAAGCATCTGTCCACAAGCTGATGTAAACTTGCATAATATGCATTCTTGGTTCGAGCAAAACCCACATTGCTTTTATCTATTGGGTAGACTAAACGACCTGACTTTTCAAGAAAAACCAATAACCGGGGAAAATATGACAAAACACTAAATACCAGTAGAAATGTGTCCAGGGCCCATTAAATAGGGCATTAAATAAATGCATCGAGGTTTATGGAAGGCATTTTCGTACATTAGTGAGTTATTTTTGCCAAAAATTTAAGTTATTCTAAGTGTTTTGGTTTATTTTGTTTTATTATCATTGTTGATGTTTCATTGATCCGTTGGCTTCTCAACGCGCCTCAAAAGTAGTTTTGAAGCAGTTCTAAGCTTGGATAAAGTGTGAAGGAAGGTTCTAGATAATAAAATTTTTGTTCTCTCTTATTTGTTTCAT